AACGCAAAGAGCGATCAGACATTGTCGACATCAGTATGGATGTCCTCGATTATGCTTCTCCTGCTGTAAATGAGCTAGATCTCTGCGCGACTTCACTACTTGTCACTCCTAGCAAGCCACCTGCTCACAAAAAAGGTAAATCTTCAAGTCCAAACGAGCAGGCCGACTCTGCCATCATTTCCACACTCTCCTCGTTGATCAATACTCGGTCTGACGCACTTGAAGGAATGATTAGCGCCAATGCTCTGAAGATAGAAGGGCTGAAGAAAACGGTAGACTTTGTGTGTGCCGAAGTACAAGATCTAAAGAAGAATGTGAAAGATGTAGATTCCAGACTTAAAGATCAAGAACGTCTCACGGGCACCTGGATAACACGCATTTCTGATCTAGAGAGATACTCTCGCAGGTGGAATTTGAGATTGTTTGGAGTGCCTGAGACTTTCAAGGAAGATATAAGATCCGAGGTCATTCGAATCTGCAGCGAGACTTATCCCGAGGCCAAGAGCAAGTACCCTGATGTTGTTGACACTGTGCATCGGTTAGGGAGGAGAGGTGACAACACAAAACCTCACACCGTTATCATGCACGTCACCTCACGGGTTATCCGCGATGCCTTATGGAAAACTGCCAAGAAGTCCCAGTTTCTCAAAGACAACAACCTGCGCTTCGCAGAGGATCTGACTTCGCTGGATCGGGAGAGACGGAAGAGCTTGTGGCCCAGAGTGAGAGAGGCGAGGGCTGCTGGAAAAATGGCCTATTACGTCGGAGCGCGTGCGTTCATTGAAGGTGTGGAGATTACTTTGTGAGTTCCATCATGAGGATCGTGTGCTCTTTTCTAAGATTGTGACTGTTAACTGTCACTATTGCATTTGAGCTATCATCGTATAACAGCTGGACGTTTAAAATTATAATTTAAATTGGTCAGTTAAGCTCTGTTCATCTCCGTTTTCTTTTCATCTATCAGTCAATTTTGATGTTTTGCCTTTGTTTTGATTCACGTTAACAGCAGTTCATTGCTGTTTGTTTATCAATGTCGATATCGTTCATTTCTCTTAATGCCAGGGGTCTAAGAAACAATGTGAAGCGCAAAGCCCTCTTTTTGTTTGTTAAAAACCATGGATCAGACTTTTGCTTTTTTCAAGAAACCCATTCCACACAGGACGATGTTAAATGTTGGAGATCCCAGTGGGGCAGTGATGTATGGATGTCGCATGGCACAGAGCGATCAGCAGCTGTCACCATTTTAAAAAATAAGTTTGCTGGTGAGATTCTACACGTTGTCGGTGTTCAAGGGTCATTTTCTCTTGTTAGTGGTTTCACTTGGTCAGACCAT